ATGCTTATGAAAACACGGAGTGGGTTGGTTATGACAACATTGAGAGCTATGGATATGAGGTGTGAACACTCTTAAAAAACTTACCATTCTAGCTTAGAACCTGAGTTCATCAAGAGCCCATTTTACCAAGATCTGTGGCTTTAAAGTTTTAAAGATACTCAAAGGAAGGGCAGGCTAACCTCATTATGACTTAGCTTTCCCCAAGACAGGGAAAACAATATGATTACATATAGATTTAATAATACAAAGTACAATATATAGTAAATACACTGATATATAACTAGAATATTATAATACAGTTAAAATTTATTTCCCAATTTTTGTCCAGGATGAATCTCTGCTAGTTCATGTGAATGGTTAGTAGCCTGGCCTAAAAACAACGTCTTCAATGACAATAATAAAAATAGTCCTCCACATTTTTACCTAAATGCTTTACAACCAGTATCTTATTTGATTCTACACAATCCAGTGAAGTAAGAATTAGCCTCTCTGTCTCATAGATGGATAAGCTGAGGATCGCGGGCGCTGTGACAAGTCCGAGGTTACATGGCTGGAAAATGGCAAAGGCAGTAATTGAACATGCAGTCCAGCTCAGAGCCTGGGTTCTTTCCACTGCCTGCTCTGTCAGCTCATCTCTATAGAATCCTGGTCGGGAGAAGTGGTCAGCAAGGAGGAGGAAAGCTGCTGCATGTTGCAGTGGTTAGGAAGTTAGGCTTTGGAGCCAGATATACCTGGTTTTAAATCCCCGATCTTAGCCTGGGTGAGTTCCCTCAAATCTGTGAAAGAGTAATAACAATAATAATAATAGGATATACCTAGTAGTTCCCAGGAAGGTTGAGTAAAGAATGTAAAAACATAGCTTAGCCTGGAATTCTAGTATTAAATAAATATTAGCTTTATTTATATTACTACTCAAGAGTTTATTAACGAGGGCAAGAAAACACGGATAGAACTGAGTTAGCCAAACACATGACCTGAATCCACAAGACACATACCTTTTCACAGAAGAAAAATTGACAGGGTCCCACCCCACCTGCTTTTCACTCCCTAACATCGCCTTGTTACCCCAAACTTCACTGTTTGTTGCATAGATGCCATTTGATTCTGCCAAGCACTCTTTTTGACCACAGGTCGACTTCCTTAAGGAGAACAAGTTTGGAAGGGCCATGAAGGTTTGGGCCATTGGTCTGGATGACTTCTCAGGCTCCTCTGCAATGAGGGCAAATACCCACTCATTCGCAGGCTGAAGTCACTGCCAGGCCTGTCCTCAGGTGTGTCACTAGGGAGTTTACCACATTGTTCCAAAGAAGATACAGGTCAAGCTGCCAAGAATGGCAAACGCAAAGAGGCCAGGGTGCAATGAGGCAGCCACAGAACTTGTAGCTACTCACATTTGAGAAAAGGGACAGAGTTATACAAAGCACCTTTTTAGAACTCCATTTTTCAATCAAGGGGCCGGTCTAAGTCCAGTAGTTACTGTGGGCAAGGATTTAAATATACCTGATACCCTAGAGGTGGGCTTTGCTGCTCAGGAAGATTTCAGCAGAGAGGAGGAATCTGATATCCTGAAACCAAGTCTGATATACGTTCTGATTTTCTCTCTCAGCTCGACTGCCCCTCTCTCACTGCGGTGCACCAAATCCTATAATCAGGTGGCTTAGCTGCTTCCCCACCCGCCTTAGACGCACAGGTTTTGTTGGTTGGGTGCTGGTGGGGAGGGCTGGAGGCAGGTCTTGAAGAAGAGCAGGGCCCAAGCCTCATGTTGCTGATTGGCTAATGACTCAGCAGCATGAAGAGAGAAACCTCTGCCCTTCATGTGGTTCTGTATGTTCCTTGGGGTAAGCATCCCTGGGGGAAGACCTAAGGATGGAGGTGGAGAAGTGGAAGATAGAAGACGCTCCTTATGTCCCTACTCTGAGGAAATTCAGGCGCATTGATTTTTAGAATTGTAAAAACCTGTACAAGACAATGATAAAATGACTTGTTCAAATTAACAGCGAGGGAGTAAGAGGCAGCAAATTGTAGTAGTTGAGAGCATTCTACTAGTAGAGTAAAATAAGATAAAAAACGTCTGAATCACCAGAGGGAGACAAAAAAGAAAATATCAATGGTGAAACAAGTAAAAATAAAGCATGACAAGATGATAAAAATCCAAACATAATACTCAAGGTTAACAAGATGACAAAAACTCAAACAGATTACTTATGACAGAAATATCGACAGATAAACCTCCCCTACTAAAACCTGAATATTAATTAGTCCCCCAAATAACATCTTTGGCGCCATCACTGCAGGGTCAGGTTCATTTCCCCGTGAGGGGAACTAGAAGAGAAGGCCGCGGGTGACATACTGCTGGGACTCCAGGGTTCTTGTTCCCCCTTCCTCTATGCTTTGAGCATTTGTCCCTTTGTAACGTTCTTCCCAGCTACAGCTTAGAACCCTCACAGGGCTCCAGTTCTTTGAGAACAAAACTGATACAGGAGAAGGTTGATAGCTTGCTGGTTCCATGTTCAAAAACAGCTTATGATGATGCTCTGAAATGCTCTGTTTTTTAGAATGTACCCCGTCAGCCACCAACGCTTGGTGTAACCGACCCGTGACACCCAGAAGTGAAGGTTTCTGCACCAATGTTGGCAGAGGCAGCGGCAGTGATGGCGGAGGCGGCGGTGATGGAGGAAGTGCTGGAGAAGGTGGCAGTGACGGGGGCAGTGGAGGAGATGGAGGCTTCTGTAGTGGCAAAGCAGACGGAATTTACAGTGATCCTGAAGACACCACCAAGTTCTACCAGAGTGTGGCAGTCAGTACCTTCCACTTCCAGTGTGTCCAGGGTCTAGTTTTTGACCAGACATGCAAGTGCTGCAATTGGCCTTAAGGCAACAGTGTTGATAAAATCCTTCTTTGTTACAAATTTTCTTGTGCTGCATGTCAAACAGCATCTTTCAATATTCTGTGTAGTCTATATATTATACCAATCTATCTGTCACGTTGGAAGCCCTAGCCTACAAAATCGCATCACGATAAGGTTTTACTCTATTAAACCCTAAAAAAACTGTAAACCCTTTGAACCAAATCCAGATGTAAAATAAATATGGCACTGCATGTTTTATTCTTTGTATTCATTTGTACTCTTTCTTAAGTACTTGTGTTTACAATTTAGCATTTTAAGGGATCCTAAAGGTTAACTGAAGCTATATTTAAAAATTTATTTTAAAAACTCACCAACCTCATAGATACAGAGAACAGATTGCTGGTTGCCAGAGGCAGGGGGCGGGGAGGGTGGGCAGAATGGGTGAGGGGGTCAAAAGGCACAAGCTTCCAGTTATAAAATAAATAAATCCTGGGCATCTAATGTACAGCATGGTGACTATAGTTAACAATACTGTACTGCATATTTGAAAGTTGCTGGAAGAGTAAATCTTAAAAGTTCTCATCACAAGGAAAGTAAAATTCTGTAACACGTATGGTGATGGATGTTAACTAGACTTGTCGTGATCATTTCACAATATATACAAACATTGAATCATTATGTTTTCCACCTGAAACTAATATAATGTTGTATGTCAATTATACCTCAATAAAAAAATTATTTCTTATCAAATCAGATTTCCATTTTAGAAAAGTGAGTTCCCTTCCCTGGAAAAAGCCTTGAGCGTATGTAGCGGGCAACAGTGTGAAAGCGGTTCTATCATCCGTCAATATCCTCCAAAGAAGGGTCCACGTCCCTGAGTCAAACAAAATAATGACTGCTGAATGACCGCCTCTGAAAATGCCTGCATGTGTGTGGGTCCAAAGGAGGAGAGGGAGGGAGGTGTGAGAGAGGTGAGAAACATCCGTCCTGACTTACTGCACATCATACACACTTCTTGACAAAATAATAGAAATCATCAAATCACATAGTTAAAAGAAGTCTCCATATTGGGTAAAAGTTTTTAGGTTCAGGTATCTTCATCAGTATCTTAATATTCTAATATGATTTCCAACAGAGACGTTTCCTTTACCATGATTTCTTCAGAAGACCTTGGCCCTTAAGGAATGAGGCCCCATCAGCCCAGGAGTTTCACCTCTTACTGCCTCTTTCACCAGCTAACACTTACCATGGGCTGCCCCTGAAGGTGACAGCAGGCTAAAGCTTTTCTGCAGCCACTGGCAGCGTCTCACTTTTTGGTATCCAGACACGTGCAGACTTGCCACCCTTCTGGTAACGACTAATAAGCCCAAGTAGGCACTAGAGGACCTTCCTGTTAAAAGATAAGGTGGACCACACTTGGTGCCCATCCTGAAGGAACTACACCTGAGTTTATTTCAGTCAGTGTTGGAAGGAAAGGGGCCCACCTCTCAGGCCAGAGAGTCTAGATAAACACTCTGAATGTGGCTGCTGTGAGCGCTGACCTTGATACCCTAGACTAACCTGTAAGGCTTCAGGGGGTCATTCAGATTGGGGGGCAGACCCAATCCACTAGCTGCCCTGGGGAGTCCTCCTCATACTTCAGGCCAGGCCTGAGGAGCCAGTAGATGAGTTTATTTTCATTCATGTTACATCCCCAGTGCCTGCCACTATGGCTGACGCATGGTAGGAACTCAATATATACGATGACTGACAGACTAAATAGATGTAATGGGAAAGGGGGAAGTTTTGGTTCTGTGAGTTTTACATGAATCTTGGAAAGGCAACCAAACCAGGACCTTCCCACTCCACGCTGGGGAATTCAGAAGCTTGTAAGAGCTCCTAGAACATGCTTTTCCCTGCCTTTAAATCACTCTGTACATAGCAAGCCCAAGCAAGCCCAAACGCCATCCAAATCCTTTATATGTATAGGCCAACAGCCTCCTGTTACGAGGGGTTAGTGGCAGAACATATAAAACTGGTGCCTGGAAATTAGAGCTAGGGAGCAGGGATCCACAAGTATTTCAGTAAAATAGAGCCACCTCATAGAACACTAAATAGGAACCCTCAGACCCATCTATGTATGTATACAAGAAACCAGCACCTGGAGACAGAACACTCTGAACCAGTCTTTATGCTCTCATCCAATAGTTACGAGACCCTTGCACCTCGCGGGGCCCCATGCTGGCAGACAAAGGGGCCACAGCAATGCAGAGGGCGAAGAGCAGCTCTGCCCTCAAGCCTGGAGAAACTGTGCTAAGGAGGAGCACGTGAAGGCAGTCACAGCTTCTCAACTGTAAAACAGGCTTAGGTAGGCCACACGGTTCCGATGCTTTCTAAAGTCTTTGTCTGTGGACAGCTGCAAGGAAAGAATATTGTCTAGGTCAACATTCTCATGAGAACTCTCTGCCTCTGGTCCTCCCAGCTGTGCAAAATGGAACTCTGCACGTTATAGCTGTTACGGCCTCACTAAACTCAATCCCACAGTAACCCAGCTGTGGTGATTCTCCCAACATATGTTTGTACATCTACTTGTGGTCATCTTACTTTGTTGTATATCATCCTAGGAATTATTTTATACTTGGTGAATCTCCAAGTATGGCTGGTAAACTTCTTGAAAACAAAGATTATATCTTTAATTCTTTTTTAAATAATGTTTGTATTTTACTTTTTGAGGAAGATTAGCTCTGAGCTAACATCTGCCGCCAATCTTGCTCTTTTTTGCTGAGGAAGACTGGTCCTGAGCTAACATCCATGCTCATCTTCCTCTACTTTATATGTGGGACACCTGCCACAGCATGGCTTGCCAAGTGGTGCGTAGGTCTGCACCTGGTATCTGAACCGGCAAACCCCAGGCCACCCAAGCAGAACGCGCAAACTTAACCGTTGTGCCAGCGGGCCAGCCCCTACATGTTTAATTCTTGAATGTTACCCATAGGCCCTAGCATGATGATGTTAATACATTAGGCACTTAATAAATACTTGTAGAGTTAATCCAAAGTTTCACTATGAAAAAAAAAGCACCTCTGGAATTATGATAGCTAACATGCATTAGTATAATATAGGTACTGTGTTAAATGCTTTTCTACATTCTCACAATCTTTACAACCTTATCAGACTGATTCTATTATACCCATTTTGAAGATAAGAAAACTGAAGCTTAGGAAAAATTAAGTGACTTGCCCAAGATCACACAGCAAGTAACCAGTGGAGCTAGTATTTGAACTCAGGCGGTCTGGCCCCAGAATCTGTGTTTTTCCCAGAATGCTCTGCACCTTCCTGATAACCTAATACTCAAGCGGTGTGATGGAAAGAGCACTGATGCGGGAGTCACGAGATCTAGACTCAAGCTGAGCAATTTGCACAAGTCACTTACTCCATCTGAGCCTCAGTTTCCCCCTGTATCATACAGAGATAATTCTCCTGTACCTACTACAGAAGATTATTTAGGGATTAAATAAGAAAATGTGACTTTGGTTCAGTCACACACACCTTTAAAAATCTAAGGAAATAGTGTAACTTTCCAAAAAGATCCCCATATGCATATACGCACAAAATTGCACATATAACTTCATGGGAACAAGGCCTTCCTAAAGCTCACTCACAGACTCCCGTTTAAGAACCCTTCATACATATGTAAGTACTAATAGAGTGCTCTGCGGAAGTCCAATCTTAGTACCTCAGCTTTTAGAGTTCTTTTCTGTAGACATGGAACCTGAGCCCAGTCTGGAGATCCAAATTTCATTGGCCAGGTGATTTTTTTGGGTGGCTTAGTCTCTGGGTTGTAAGCGCCAGGGCTAGAAATAACAATACAAAACATCATATCTAATGAGTTAGTGACCACATATGAACCCCATCAGTACCACAGCTATCCCTGAACTAGTCCTATCTCCTTGGGAAAAGCAACAGACTAATTAGCTTTTTAATGTTGGGCAAGTGTGAGGTTCCTTTGCCTGTTAGTATATTTCTAATTAGGTCTCAGTGCTAAAGATATCTAGTCTTGACATCCAGTTACAATAAAAATTGACTCGAGTTTAAAAAAACATTTCCACAACTCAGTATCCTTAGCTGAGAGACCAAAAGATCCTAGAAGTGGTGAGTAACAAAAGAGATCTACCACAGTGATGAATGAGCACTGCCCACGATTTGAAAGGGGGGATAAAAGTACACTGATAATTTAATCTATCAGCAATCTAGGGGCAGCAAATTAGAACCAATTAAATTTTGACAATGGGATTATTTTTTAATTGCCTTTGTTCATACCACTTTGTCTTTTGGTGTAGACTCTTTGCTGTGGTGGAGATAACACTTAGAGTGGACGTGGGGGTCAAGATTCAACACTTCCACTTCCTTACTGCAACCTTGAAAAAGTTACATTCAATTCCGTTTCCGATCCTCGGGTTTCTCTCAGTAACAGAAAGACCTTGACCTTTGCCCTACAATTCCATAGATTCTGAATGGCTTCCTAACACTGCCCTAGGTCTACAAACCTTGCATACTCTAGCCCCGCCCCTTCTGCTCTGTTCCCATTTCCTCCCCGGCTCACTACACTCCAGCCATGCTAGTTGTCTTTTTTCCCTCACACCAAATCCTTCCTAATTTACAGCCTTTCCACTGGCTGTTCCTTCTGCCTGGGAAGCTCTGGGCCCAGATCTTCACAAGGCTGGCTCAGTCTTGTCCTTCTGATTTCAGATCAAGTGTCATTTCCCCAGAAAAACTTTTATTGACAATCCTGGCTAAAGTAGCCTCTGGTCTCTCACTCCGTATCATATCGTTGTCCTGTTTGATTTTCTTCATAGCACATCAGGTCACCATACTTCCTGGTTTGTCTGTGATAGTCTTAGTTTATGTCTACTGTCTTGGTATAAGTATTAATCAGGCACCCTGTCACTCTCAGAAGTGTCCTGGTCTGACTAATAAATTATATGGTCACTTTCTTTATTACTATTGATATTTTCTTGTTTATTTGCTTCTCATCTATCTGGACTCTAGAATGTAAGTTCCAAGAAATCGGGAGCCTTGTGTGATGGGTTTAATGCAAAATCTCTGGAACATGCAAAACTGCCTGGCACATTTATGAATATTTATTGAGTGAATCACTGTGATTTACAATTCTATAATGTCAGAGATCTGGAGGACAAGAGGCTGAATCTTCAAAGAAGGGTGGTTTCTTATTTGGCTGGCATGCTTTGGATGTAACCCCTTCTTGGTATTTTCTTTCCTATTGCTCTTTGTTGAAGTGCACCAGAAAAGAGGAGACAGACATACCCAGGATCATAAGTGTCCTTTGAGCATGTCCTAAAGCGAGGCAACAAGGTATTAAATGGAGCAAAATTTTGTTTGTGTTTTTGCTCCCGAGGAGTTACTGTCTGGTACATGCCTGGGTAAGGCGTCATATCCTGTTTCCAAGAAAAAGATCAATATGTTAGAGGGTGACACAGATACATAGAAAGCTTCTAAGTAGAAAAAATCAGAATCATCCTCTTCTTGGTCATGTATCAGCTATGGTTTAACCACCTGAAGCTTAAAAACAGATCTACAGTAGGTAGAAAACCAAGATCAAGATAAGGGTGTGGTTCAGCTACCTAGAGTTACATAATGCTTAGGTTGAAGAAATAAGCCTAGGGCAGAGAACCAAGGTAACTTGTTGCAGCTGCTACCCCCACCATCCCACTCAGAGATATTTTTAGAGCCAGCACCCCTCTCCTTGAGCTTAAGTGTCAGGACAATGGCCAACAAGAGATTAGAAGCCTACACTAAAGACTTTTAGACTTGAAATCCAATCACATGAAAGGGTGGAAAAGTTGGAATTTGTTTTTTAGCTGATAATATGATGCATATAAACAAAGCTTCCAGTATTTTAGCATCAGGTGTCTCAGCACTGAAGCCCTATCTTGGCACAATTTCTTCCAAGAATTGTTTTCCGCTCTCCCAGGACACTCACACACATGTGCAATGGTAATACCCAAGCTTTTCCAACAGGCTTTTTAATAGCTTTTGCTTAAATGTCTATTTTTCTTGAATTTCAGGGCATATTCTTTAGGTAACCTCCCTCTCTCTGCTTTTTGCTCTCCGATGCAAAAACATGGATCACACTAAAATGTATGCACTTTCAGCCATTTCTCACCTTATTAATTGGCTTAAACCTCACGGCTGTTCTAGCTCCAAAAGTATATCCTTTTCTACTGGTCGGGATCTTAGAGAGGTTGTATGCCAAGCCATGCATCTTTGGGTAGTATAAAAAATAGAAAGAAAGGAAAAAAACACAGAGACCATTACAGTCATCAAAACAGAGTAACTTAGAATGTTCTTATCTGAATCTTCTCTGCAGAAGTTGCTTTTTCTTTCTTGACTCCTCTTAGCCAAGACCAGGTAAACAATTATATAAATAACGTGTAACACAGGTAACTCTGCAAAGGAATGTGGCTGGATAGGTAAATGATATTTCTCTGCCTTCCAGTGAATCCCATCCTCTGAGCCCCACAGAACTATGTTTGCTTTATACAACTGTCAGTCTGATCATATTATTTCATAAACTGACCTACCAGCACTTCAACAATCCAGGTTTGGAGTAATGGGAGGGTTTGGCATTGGTTCACAGCCCTTTGGAGGTGGGAATGGAGTGGGGACTATATGAAGCAAAGGCTTGCATTTGGTGGGGGTTCAAAGGAAGGAGCAAGGTCCTTTAATTTCTAACATTGGCCCTGACAGCTGGTTGCACATGACCAGGACCCCTTCTCATGTTGGGACCCTGAAGATCAGAAATCCCATAGAATTTTTGTTCCACAAAACTTGGGTATCCTTAGACAGCCGAGGAACTAAGACCCACCCAAGGGAAGGTGAATACTCACATCTGCCATGTAGCTTCCAGGCCCTCTGTGGGGTGCTCCCCTAAGAGGGAGAAACTTGTTCCCCAAAAAGTTTGGGGGATGGAAGTGGGGAAAGAGCTTCCTCTGTTGACGCGTTCCAAAGGAGTTGCCAACCAGCGTCTCTGAAGATCAAGAGAGAGGAGAAACTCCACGTGAAGGAAGGCTGCTCTGTCTAAGTGAGCACACGGGGGACAGGCGAGATGTGGGAGGCGGAGCAAGGATTGGGTCCGACCGAGCTCTTAACAGAATCAGACCGAACTCCATGAAGGGGATTGAACTATATCCTCCCTACTGCTTTCTCTTTCCTAGCCTCCGCACTCTTCCTCCTGCCCTCTACTCTTGACTCCTCTCCTGCAGCCCTCCTCACCTGCTTTGTTGAAGCACAGCGCCGGTGCGCCGCCAGGCTAGCATTTGTGTACTGCGTTGCCAAGGGAACGGAGGCGGGCCAGGCGAGTCCCAGCTGCGGCCCTCCCCAAGGGGAGTGGCTCCTAGCGCGCCTGCGCAGCTAGTTGGGGTGCGAGAAGAGCCACTATTGGGCCAGGAGCTCGCACCTCCGGGACCAGGAGCCCAGGGGAGTGTGAACCCTGCAGCCGGGGTAGGGGTAGAGGGTTTGCTGGACCCGCGGCTGTAGGGCCTGCGGGGGTGAAGGGGTGGGCAGAAGGGCTTTGGAGACTGGGCCACCGGGGATGTGCTGCTGAGGCAGGGACACTGCGGTGCCGAATGCCTCGAAATCCGGTCTGCTGGGATCAGAAAGTAGACAAACGCAGCCGCTGCAGTGATGGCTGTGGGGATGGGCTCCCAGGGCAGCGCCCTAAGCAGGGGAATTGGGAATCGAGTGGAGCCTAGATAGTTCCATATTAGGCCCCTTTTAGACTCATTTTTCTTTTTCTCAAGTGTTTCCCATCAGATTGCCCCCTTCTACCCCTAAGTGGAGCACGAGGCTTTAAAAGGGCTGGAAGCCTTGAGTGGAGCAGTAAGAGTGCAGTGGAATAACAGAAGTGCTGAATAGTTTAAAAATCTTAAGCAATCACTTAAATGTTTAAGTCCCAGTGTCCTCATCTCTAAATTAGGAATAATAATTCCTCTTTATAGGGTTGTTGAGAGAGTTAAGATAACAGAATTAAAGCCATTCAGTGCCTGGCTCCGAATTGCCAATACTTGGTAGGTGACAATTACAAGGGGTTATTATTACTGAAGATAATATCCAGCCAGCTGGGGAGCGCAATCATCCTAACCCAAGAAGAAATGTCAGGGTGTGTGTTGCCTTCTTTACCTTTGTCCTGAGTATTAACACTAACTTGTTTTCACTTGGTTTTAGGGTGGCTTTAGGAGTTGTCAGGTGTTGGAGGCAAGACCGCAGTGACTGGTCCATACTACCCTTTGGCCTCTAAGGTTGACCCTGGGGTCCACACATAGCCTGGGCTAGCACTGTCTGCCAGGATGATTTTATAGATCTTATGCAGGGTTTACAGAAAAGGTGATACTGAATCCTAGAGGATATTTTGGAAACTTGTGGAAGCATTTTGCTTGTGAAATATTATTGGAGGTATGCTCCTGGTCAATGGACCAAGGAGACTGGACCCTCCCTGCATTGAATTGCCCAGTCACACAGTGAATTGTCTCATGTCCTACATAACATTCAAATGTCCTGCTGGACTCTACAAAAAATAATTGGTTATGCTTGACTTTTATAATAACATTGAAAGAGTTTTTTTTTTAATAAGAAATAATGCAGAAATCCCAGTAATAATGGAGAAAGTTGTATGAGAAATAAAGCTTAAATGGAATAAAGATACGGTCTCAATTTTTTGTATAATTTACTCCAAGCATTCTCTCTACTCAAAATATAGTTGCAATAATACTGATGGTAAATAAAATGGAAAGAAATATTGGTATTGGTTTGATAATTTTCACTTTCATTAATATTTTGGATACTCACAGTGTTTTTTGAAATCAGTGTTTATGTTATTAATGACATGAAACATGCCTTACAAAGTACTTTGAAAATATGGCAACCCATTGTCTTGTTGGTAGACTGGTTTGCTTCAGACTAATCCTCCAGCTGAGAAAAGACAGAAAACCTGGGCTAAATAAAATATGTATGTTTGAAGATGTCAGGGATATACTAAGGAAGAAAGAACACGCAGGGCCAAGATCCCAGAGAGAGGGGAAGTCCAAAGTGGTAAGCCCAACAGATGGTGCTATTGTCCCCTTTGAATATGTGCTAATTAAAAAGCTAGCTGAAAAGAAGAAGATTTGCGCAGAACTTTGGACAGACAGTCTCTGAAAGCTAGGGAACAAAAATTAGGTTGGCCATGGAAGCATGACTGGAAAACACCATGGGCTTTTAGTTGGGACCCTAAAGAGATAAACCCTAGGAATAAGGGTAAATAAGAAATAGACCAGCTTAAAAAAGACCCTGAAGTCCAGCTTTGTATCAATTCAGTCCTCAACTGCATTGAGGTAATCTGCTTCTAACCTAACTGCCTACCAGAAACAAAAGTGAATCAAGTCTGAATATGACATCATCCAGAGCCTCAACTAATTTTTATAATTTTTTTTGTGAAAAATGTTGGACGTTCAATATAAAACAACCACTCATGGAAAAAAAAAAAAAAGAGTAGAAAGAAATCCAAAGAAATCCAGAGATTGGAGTTCTCAAACATGGACTTTAAAATAATTGTTCTTGGCTTGAGACTTTGGATGATGCCTCAAGACTGCAGGGTGAACATAGGAAGCAAAAGGGAAGCAAGGATACATGCGATCATGAAGCAAATTCTTGGCTTCTGAGGTAAGAGGCTAAAAGAAAAAGATAGATTAGTCTCTAAAATCAAAGTTGATAAAGATCCCAGTGTACTCAAGAAAAGAGAAGTTTTCCCCATCAATCTTCCTGTTTATGTCACTAATTTAACATACAGCTGGGCCCGCATATATCCTGATTGATACAAGTTTATCAGCTTTTCATTAAAGCCAATCCAAATATAGTACCATCAAAGATGGGCTGTCTGTCTTTTGCATGTATTTCCTGTATAACCAATTGTGTAATGGTAAAATTGAGAAGTTAAGGCAGAATTTCAAGTATCTCTAAGAATTGTCAAGGATCCAATGTTTGAATGATGATCATGCACAAAGGAATGTATGCAGGTGAGTTCTTAGTACAGAAGAATACTTAGACAAAGTTTTATATTGTGGCCACTTTTGATGAAGACTTTAAGAATTCAGCAGTTCCCATCAGGTACATTTCTAACCATAGTTATGACATCAAGAGGATGCCTGATGTTTACAGAGACTATCAGTTATAGCTTTATGAGACAGTTATCTGCGTTTTTTATTTGACTGTATGTGAGGTCATTAGAAGAATAATTATTCCGGGAAACCACCTGCTCTGTTGCAATGGTCTAATTGAGTGGGGATAAGTAGATTCAACTTTTGGTATAATGTTTTAAAAAGATTTTTATCTCACTTAAAGATTTGTTGGATTAAATAATAATAAATTAGTTCAGCAAAGGGTATAAAGCTGATAATTTTATTCAAGACATTAAATGACAAGGTGGAGAATTTTAGAAGAAATAAAAAAGAATCAAATAAAAGTTGTAGAAATAAAAAGTTCCATTACTGAAAGTAAAAACTCAACACATGGATTTAACAACAGATTATAAAAGCTGAAAAAAAGAATGAATGAAATGGAAAATGAATCAGAAAAAAGTACTCAGACTGAAGCTTGGAGACACAAAAGGACAGAAAATACAGAAAAAAATTGCAAGAGACAGATGAGAAACAATGACAAGGTCCAACACACAAATATTTGGAATTCCACATGGAATGGAGGAGAGAGAATGTGGTAGATACATGAATTGAAGAGATAATGGCTGATAATATTTCAGAACTGATGAAAAACAGAGAACTAGGGATTAACAAATGCTGTAATCTCAAGCAAGACAAATAAAAAGAAAATCTTACTTGATCATATAATAGTTAAAAACTAATACAAACCAAAAAGAGAAAATTCTTGAAATCAGCCGGACAAAAAAGGCATGTTACATTTAAAGAAGCAACAATAAGCCTTATAGCTGACTTTTCAATAGAAACAACGGAAGCCAGGAGACAATGGAATAGTATCTTTAAGTGCCAAAGAAACAACAGTAAAAGGATGAAATACATGTTCCGTATGAAGACTAACAAATAGAAAGTGAATGTATGTATACCAAGACAATCAAGGATATGAGGGAAAGAGAGACACTGAAGAATTATTCTGAATTGAAGAATATTGATGAAACATGACGATTTAATGCAACACATATTCCTGGATAGGATCCTGCATGAGATAGGAAAGATGTTGTTGGGACAGTTGGAAAATTTGAATAGGGTCTGTGAGTTTAATGGTAGTGTTGCATCAATGTTAATTTTCAGATTAGTAGCCTTGTATGGTTTTAATGTAGGAGAGAATCTCTGGGAGAGTTACACAAGAGCTTTTAGGGAGGATGGGGCGTCATGTCAGAATCACATATATATATATATATATATATATATATATATATATATATATATATGTATGTCATGTATATATATAGATATGGAGAGAAAGAGAAAGAGGGAGAGAGGGAAAAGTAACATCAACAATTGGGGAATTTGGGTGAAAGGGATAAGGGCATTCTTTGTACTGTTGTTGCAACTTTTCTTTAGGTTTGAAACTGTTTCAAAATAATAATTAAAAAATATACCATTAGGTGAATGAGAAAACAAGCCAAGATATGGGAGAAGGTATAAGCAAAAAAGCATCTAGACCTGCAATGTCCAATGCAGTAGCCACTACTCATGTGTAACTATGAAGCACTTGAAATGTGGTTAGTAAAAGTTGAGATGTGTACAAGTGTAAAACACACACCGGATTTTAAAGACTTAGAATGAAAACAAGAGTTCAAAACATCTCATTAATAAATTTTACATTGGTTACATATTGAAATGATAGTATTTTGTATATATTGGGTTAAATAAAACATAAGTATTAAAATTATCTTCACATGTTTCTTTTTTGCAGAGGAAGATTTGCCCTGAGCTAACATCTGTGCCAATCTTCCTCTATTTTGTATGTGGGTTGCCACTGTGGTATGGTTGCCAATGA